CCCAGCTCTCCCAGCCTGGCCTCAGAGCAGAGCGGCTCCAGCCCTCGGACCATTTCTGTGGCCTCCTCTGGCCCCGCTCCAACAGGTCCCTGTCTGTGCGGTGCTGAGGGCCCCAGCCTCAAGGGTTCCACACCCTCTTGTGCTCACAGCTCAAAGTCATGCAAGCAGTCTCAGAAAGCTCTCCTCCTCCACAATGCCTGGAGACAGGCAGAAGACACCCACCTCCGGAGAGCGTTGCAATGACCGATTTACAAAGCTTTGGACATGTAGCAGAGCTGCATGCATCCCTCGCACACCTCAGCGGGCACCGCTGCACCCTAGGCACGTTAGCAGTTTATTGAGCTTCTGCCGAAGCCGAGCAGCGGCTGCGGCACGTACTTACCACCTGGCTGATGTCATATCCCCAGGGCAGGAAGAGGATCCCTGTGTTATACTTCTCCCAGTGGGAGAGGATGAATGAAAACAAGACCACCCATAAGAGGAGGTAGAGAACGAAGACACTGACACCCGTGGAGCCCCGTCCAAAGGTGGAGTAGACTGTCACGACAAAGTACACGCATGCCCAGCTGTCCAGGCCGTGATCAAAGAGCTCTCCCAGGGGTGTGCTGGAGTTGGTCCGGCGAGCCTGTTTCCCATCAACACCATCTGGAAAGAGAACAAGGAGAAACGGGGAGTTTTGCTGGACACCCCCACGCAAAGCAATGGGCCAGTTTGCAGCTGACAAAGCACGCGCAGCCAGCGAACAGCGGCTTTCACAGCCTCCGTCCTCTAACGGGGAGTGCGCTTCCCACCCCCCTGCTCTACTTGAGACTGAAAAATACAATAAAGTCTGGCAAGATTACATTTATTTAAAGCTGACTGAGGACAGAAGTTCACAATTCATCTCAAAGTTAGTTTCAGCATCCTCCTTTCCTATCAGCTGCTCCGGGACAACTTCCTTCTATCCACTTCACAAAGCCACTCCCAGAAGCCGCTCTGCAAATGGATTAGTGCACGACAGAAGCCCAGAATCAAAGATTTCTCAACGGGTTGGGAGCTAAGACGACACGCAGCCTCAGCACAAACAGACGACGGACACAAACCCCCACAATCAACTAGAAAACGTCTTACCTAACGTATAGGCAATGAAGTTGAGGAGACCCACAATGACCCACACTCCGTTCGGAACATGTTGGTGATCAGGGGCTGCAGAGATCAGAAAGAACCAAAGACTGAGTACGTACTTTCAATGGGTTTATTTCGACACAAGAGGCACATCAACAAGGACCGGCAGCTCACCAAGACAAAGCACCTACAGAACTCAAACAGTGAAACTGAGACATTAGTTTTCCAGGACGTGATGGCAGAGCTGTTCCACAACCGCATGTGAAACCACGTCACCGAGGACTTTGCTTTCCAGGACATGCTTGTCCTCTGTCCCCAGCTCCCCAAAGTCACAGGATCTAAGAACTGATGACAGCAGCTAGCAACCATAGCCCAAACGCATGACATGGAAGGCTGTCTAGATCAGCCTCCTCAATCACTTGCTCACAGAGCATCAAGCAGAGCCTCTCTGAGATGTTGCAACACCCTGCCTCTGCAGAAACATGCCACCCCCCACCCGGTCTCCAGTCTCCATCCTGCCAACTGAAACAGAGTTCCTCCTTAATAACATCTCCACTTCCTCCAATACTGTTCTGGCAGATAGCCAGCTTAGCTGTCTGCAACTCCAGGAGCCCAAAGGTGCATTTGAAGAAAGCAGGAAGAGGCACGGCTTCTTGGCAGCAGCCTCGCAGGAGGGCATGGGGAGATCTCCCGGGGGAACACTGATTCTGTGAAATGCCACCTCCTGTTTCCTTAGAGCAGCAGGACGGTGCCTTTCCAGCAGCAAATGAGGGCATCATGTCTACAAAACCATCCAACGAGGAGAGAAGGCACAAGCTTCTGGAGGCCTCACCAGCAAAATGAAAAGTTGTCTTTCCAAACAGGACGTGGATAATATGTATGTACAAAAGGGTCCCAAAGCTTCACCATCCCTTTGGCAGAGCCCAAGTTTCTGGACATCTGATGTCCTGGGGATTCTCACACTGAGCTTCCTTCCCTGAGCTACTACTGTCAGCTTTTCTTCCTATGGCTCATGGACCAAAACACAGTCCAAATCTTAGCTAACAGCCACTGATGCCACCCGAGCTTTTGAAAGCCTGGCACACTGAAAACAGTACTTGTCTACCTACCAATAAAGACAACCCCAAGAAATCAGCATTTTTCCCACTTAACTGTGTTTTGATGATTGGCCCAGTTTTAGAAGAACTGGATGAACTCTTCTGAGCAACCTAAACCAAACCTGGCAGGGGTAAAAGAAGAGAAAAATCTAGAGAGGAAGCTACTGATAAGTGACTGAGAGTAATCTTTTCCCTGGGACACCGTCACGGGGAAGGGGGACACAACTGAACCTTTGGATTCACGAAGAGATGAACATGGGTAGGACCCTGGGAACTACTGCCCTGTCAGCCTCACCTCTGTGCCTGGGAAGATCATGGGACAGACCCTCCTAGAAGCTGTGCTCAAGCACATGGAAGACAGGGAAGTGATTTGAGACAGCCAGCATGGATTCACCATGGGCAAGTCCTGCCTGACCAACATAGTGGCCTTCTACAGAGGAGCAACTGCATCAGCGGACAAGGGAAAAGCAATGGATGTCATCTATCCGGACTTCTGCAAGGCCTCTGACACGGTCCCCCACAACATCCTTCTCTCTAAATTGGAGAGATACGGATTTGATGGGTGGACTGCTCAGTGGATGAGGAATTGGCTGGATGGTCACATCCAGAGGGTAGTAGTCAACGGCTCGATGTCAAAATGGAGACCAGTGACAAGGGGGGTCCCCCAGGGGTCCGTACTGGGACCAGTGCTGTTTAATATCTTCATCAATGGCACTGGCAGTGGGATGGAGTGCACCCTCGGCAAGTTTGCAGATGACACCAAGCTGAGTGGTGCGGCTGACACACCTGAGGGACGAGATGCCATCCAGAGGGACCTGGATAGGCTGGAGAAGGGGGCCTGTGTGACCCTCAGGAGGTTCAACAAGGCCAAGTGCAGGGTCCTGCACC